TTGTAGCTATCATTATTGTTTTAGCTGGCCTGGACTGGGTTTGAACCTGCCAGCCCCAGCGTATGTGGCCAGCAACCTACCCAATGAGCTATAGGCACTGCCCACGTTAACTACTTTTATTAACAGTTTTCTGTAAATTGGTTATTATGAGGATTTCATTATACAATGTATATAGACCACTAGTACACTGCCTGAAATGTTAGACAACATTTCTGTATATATTTTCTTTTATTAGAGATGGGGTCTTGCTCTGGCTCAGGCTGGTCTCGAACTTGTGAGCTCAGATAATCCACCAGCCTTGGCCTCTAAGAGTGCAAGGATTACAGGTGTGAGCCACCACAACTGGCTACTGTAGCGCAACCTGTGGGTCGTGATCCATAGGAACTGTATTATAGGTTCAGGTTGAGAACCACTGGGCTACTGTATGTATTTTAAAGGATTCCAAGGAAGAGATATTTGTTTCACCACCTCTGTTGAATCCTGTATATTTACAAATTTGAAGAGAAAAAAACTGCTAAAAGCCCTAGACATAAAACTCAAAATAATTCAACCCATATTTTTCTGCCTTGATAATGGGATTTTTGGTTAATTTATTATTCAGCCCATGCTAACAAGAGAAATTATTTCATCTTAGTACATATTTCCTCCTTTGAAATATACAAATCATGATGGCATCAGATGAGGTAGTGACTGAACACCCTCATATTTGTCTTATCAGGTGAATGGTAAGTATAAAAATCATCACTGCCATCAAAAAATTACCATGACACAGTTAGTAACACCACTAGATTCACCAGAAGTATAATTTACCTGTGTGCAAAGATGCAGAATATTGCAAATGTCCTCTTCTGACACCTCTGTTCCCATAGATATTTCTGCAGCTGCTTTCACTTCTGCTTCGACTTCTTCTGGCAGCAATTCAGAAAGTTTGGCAGAGGCATAGTTCTTCCTATCGCCTACAGAATGTTTGCAGAGGATGAGGGAGAATCACTCTTCAAAAAATTATTTAAATCCACCAAATAGTCAAAAGAAAAAGTAGAGATAAGCCAATGAAAAGGATGCCTAAACAAAACAGAAAGTAAACAAGATTTGACCTAGTCGGTTCTCCCTTATTTAAAGGTTTGGTTTTAGAGATAAAATTTCTCCCTATCACCTCCCTCCAAAAAATAATTGAGTCAAAATAAGACAAAATATTTCACAAAAGAAAAAAATTAAAGATAGGAATAAACAGTAATGCCATAGACAACATTTTTTTCTCCCTCCAAACAGAGTCTTGCTCAGTTACCCAGGCTAGAACACCATGGTCTCAGCCTAGCTCACCTCGAACTCCTATATTCAAGCAATTCTCCTGCCTCAGCCTCCCGTGTAGCTGGAACTAAAGGTGTGTAATATCTTGCCTTGCTCATTTTTCTATTTTACTAGAGACAAGGTCTCTTGCTCTGGCAGGTTTCAAACACCTGCTCTCAAGTGATCCTTCTTGCCTCTGCCTTGCCAAGTAGCTGAGACCACAGGCACTCACCATAGTCACCAACTAATTTTTCTATATTTTTCTTTGAGACAGAGTCTCAAGCTATCATCCTGGGTAGAGTGCTGTGGCATCATAGCTCACAGCAACATCAAACTCTTGGGCTTAAGCCTCCCAAGTAGCTAAGACTAAAGGTGCCTCCCACAATACCTAACTTATTTTTTTGGTTGTAGTCGTTGTTTGGTAGGCCCAGGCTGGATTCAAACCTGCCAGCTATGGGTTGTATGTGGCTGGTGCCCTAGCTGCTGAGCTATAGGCGCCAAGCCTAGTTTTTTAATTTTTAGTAGAAAAGGGGTCTCGTTCTTGCTCAGGCTGTTCTCAAATGATCTACCCACCTTGGCCACCCAGAGCACTAGGATTATAGGCACAAGCCACTGTGCCTGGTCAGTATTAGGTATAAATGTTTTATTATAGGATGCCCCATAGCCTACAGTTGTCCTTATTAATGGCAAATTTAATGATATTCACCATAGAAAGCCACTTTAAGGGGCTGGGAAATTAGCTGGGTGCCAACATCTTACACCTGTAATCCTAGCACTCTGGGAGGCTAAGACAGATGGACAGCTTGAGGTCAGGACTTTAAGACCAGCCTGACCAAGAGTGAGACCCCATCTCTTCTAAAATAGAATAATTAGCCAGGTGTTGTGCTAGGCACCTGTAGTCCCAGCTACTTGGGAAGCTGAGGCATGAGGACTGCTTGACTCCCCAAATTTGAGGTTGCTATGAGCTACCATGACACCACAACACTCAACCCCTGGGCCACAGAGTGAAACTCTATCTCACAAAGAAAAAAAAAAGAAAGAAAAAGAAAAGGATGAAGAAATCACTTACCTACTTTCTGTAAACACTTGCAGTATGTCAAGTTATCTGAAATAATTTTTCCTAATTCAGGGAAATGCCAGCCATACCATTCTCGACACCTCATAATATAGTTGTTTAGTTCCTTGTCCAAGTCATCTAACAAGGCTGCAGGAGATTAGAATGAAAAGAAATCAGGATCTTTAAAAGGGGTTTCTTGTGGTAAAATATACATAAAATTTAACCATCAACCATTTTCAAATATACTAGCGGCATTAAGAACATTCACTATTTTCAGAACATTTTTATCATTTCAAACTTAAAACTCTTTACTCATTAACCAATAACTGCTTTTAATCTCACCTTCTCTCAACACTTAGTAATATAGTAGTTGGTAATATATATATATATAAGCACTGTATTAGTTTCTGTCTCTGTGAATTTGCCTATTCTAAGTACTTTATGTAAGTGTAATCATGCACTATTTGTCTTTTTGTGATTGGCTTATTGTACTCAGTACATTTTTTCCAGATTCCTCCATGTTGCAGAATGTCTTAGAACTAAATTCCTTTTTAAGGCTGTGTGACATTCCATTGTGTATACAGGTTGGGTATATCTCACCCAAAATGTTTGGGACCAGAATAGTTTCAGGATTTGAAATATTTGCATACACACAATGAGATATTTTGGAGATGAAATCCAAAGTCCATATAAGGAAATCTGAGATTCATTTAAGCTTGCTTCATATACACCTTAAGTACACAGCCTGCAGGTAACTTCCACTTGCTGCTTCATGGCAGCACTCAAAAAGTTTCACATTTTAGAGCAGCTTGGACTTTGGATAACAGATGCTCAATCTACATATGGGATGCTATGTTTATTTATAAACAATGCTACTATGAACATGGGTGTATAAGGAACTGAGTCTTCTCCCCCCTTTTTAAGAGACAGGATCATGGTGGCACCTGTGGCTCAAGGAGTAGGGTGCCAGCCCCATATTTCAGAGATGGCGGGTTCAAACCCAGCCCCAGCCAAAAACTGCAAAAGAAAAAAAAAAAAAGAGAGGGAGATAGGATCATGCTATGTCACCCAGGGTTGAGTATGATGGCACAATTCTAGCTCACTATATCCCTAAATACTTGGGCTCAAGAGATCATCCTGAGGCAGGTTGAAGTGGCTTGCGCCTATAATCCTAGCACTCTGAGAGGCCAAGGTGGGTGGACTGCTTGAGCTCAAGAGCTTAAGACCAGCTTGAGCAGGCGGTGCCTGTGGCTCATTGAGTAGGCTGCCGACCCTATATACTGAGGGTGGCAGGTTCAAATCTGACCCTAGCCAAACTGTAACAAAAAAATAGCTGGGCGTTGTGGTGGGCACCTGTAGCCCCAGCTACTTGGGAGGCTGAGGCAAGAGTAACCTAAGCCCAAGAGCTGGAGGTTGCTGTGAGCTGTGATGCCACAGCATTCTACTGAGGGTGACAAAGTGAGACTCTGTCTCTAAGAAAAAAATAAAAA